TGCAAATCTCCACCACTTCAAAGGTGCTTTATTATATTGAGTTCTAGGGACTGTGGAGGTCATTCGAGTACAGTGAACTCATAGTCATGTTCAAGAAACCAGTCTGAGATGATTTGCGCTTTATGACATGGCGCGTTATCTTGCTGGAAGTAGCCATCAGAAGATGGGAACACCCTGGTCATAAAGGGAGGGACATGGTCAGCAACAATACTCAGGTAGGCTGTGGTGTTGACACAATGCTCAATTGGAACTAATGGGGCCAAAGTGTGCCGAGAAAGTATCCCCCACACCATTACACCACCACCCCCAACCTGAACCATTGATACAAGGCAGGATGGATCTATGCTTTCATGTTGTTGACATCAAATTCTGCCCCTACCATCTGAATGTCGCAGCAGAAAAATTGAGACTCATCAGACCAGGCAATGTTTTCCCTATCTTTTATTTTCAATTTTGGTGAGCCTATGCGAATTGTAGCGTTAGTTTCCTGTTCTTAGTTGACAGGTGTGGCACCCGGGGTGGCTTTCTGCTGCTGTAGCCCATCCACCTCAAAGTTCAATGTGATGTGTGTTCAGAGATGCTCTTCTGCAGACCTGGCCATTCTCCTCTGACTTCTGGCATCAACAAGGCATTTGTGCCCACAGAACTGCTGCTTATTGGATATTTTCACTGTTTTGGACCATTCTCTGTAAACCCTATAGATGGTTGTGCGTGAAAATTCCAGTAGATCAGCAGTTTCTGAAATATTTAGACCACCCCGTCTGGTGTCTACCTAAATGCATTGAGTTGCTGCCATGTGATTGGCTGATTAGAAATGTGTATTAGCGAGCGGTTGGACAGGCGTACCCAATAAAGTGGCCGGTGAGTGTATATATGAAACTAAAACTGCCAGTAGATGGCACAATCATGGAACCATTTGGATTGCTAAAAAGAACTAATTCAACATCACATCTTTTCTACACCTCAACCAAGAGGTTGATTTATGTTAAAAGTACTGGAATTCATACACATGCTATGAAAATCAGAAAATTATTTATTTATTTTAATAAATGTGTATACTGAATCATTTTATTTATTGAAGTATTCCATAAAATATTTCAGCTTCTACTTTAACAAAGGATTTGATCAATTTTCTTGTTGTTTTCTTTGTAAACCAGCAATGCTGTGTAGCGTAAAGCAGCATTAAAATAGTCTTTCAAACCATATAAAACACTAGAGATTGTAAAACAATTCAGCATCATCTCTTGGTGAAAAAGCACAAGTGACACACCCTTTGGACCAGGCCCGGATTGGCTAATCGGGAGGACCGGGAGAATTCCCGGTGGGCCGGTCCGTTTTTTGGCCGCGAGGGCCGGTGTCCCTAGCTCCAGTATCTGTTGCTCTCAGCAGTCACACTTTTTAAATTAATTTATTTATTTACCTGACCACAGTCATCTTATTCATTATTTTACCGCAGCTCTTTTTGTATATAACCAGCCTGCAGGTTAATGATTAGATAACTCAGATGAGCCACTGTTCAATAAACAGCTGTTGTGGTCCAGTAGTTAGCTCGTTAGGTTATGACGTCGTCAACCCGGGTATGATCCTCGTCTAAGTGTGTTAATTTATTTATTTTTTTTATTGTTAAGACATACGATACTGTTAGGGTTGTTGAACATTTAAAGCTCTAAAGCACCTGTTTTCTCAAAAAAGACGGGATAGTGTAATTAGAAACTGAATTGGAAATTACCTTACTTTAATATAGTCAGTCGTGAACTGAGGTGGGCCGGTCTGAGGCTTGAATCTCCAGGGCTGAAAAAGAGTCCCACTCCGGCCCTGCTTTGGACAGTATTTGCAACCTCCCACTCTCCTATGTTAATCTAATAGGAATGTGAATGAAAGTGCAATTCATCGACTGACCCCTAGGGGCTGGCTCCAAAAGGAAGTAAATTCCAATTGACACTCATGTTAAAACACCCAATGCCTAAATCAAGGTGTTTTACAGCCTGGTATGAAAAAAAGAATTTACAAAATCCCCACAAAGCTCTGAGGCAACAGATAAATAGATTTATAGTTGTGTTTAAAATAGAATCAATCACATCAAGGAAGGCTTTAGGTCTGTTCACATTTTCAGCAATTAACATAGAGAAATAGGTAGATTTAGCATGTTTTACAACTTTTTTGATAATTAGATTTAAATTGAACATATCAAAGCATATGTGTAGCTTATTTTTAATCCACTTTCACTCTACTTTCAAACAATCCCGTCTAAGAGGCCGGGTGGTTTCATTTAATCAGGGCTAGCTAACATGCTTTACCCTTTAATAAAGCAGAGGGACAGTGTTCAACGATGTAAAACAAGCTTCATAAAACCATTCCCCCAAACTTTCAGAATCAGTTTTACTGTGGATATCATTAGCAAAATATAATAATGTTTAGAAAAAAAATTGTATTTTCAGAATTATTGGCTCTAGACAACTGTGAATGCTGAGTGAAAGTAGGTGATGGAGAAGAGCATTCAATTTTAAAGAAAACTAGAAAATGATCAGTTTGCATTTTCAGTTCCTCCTGTATTGGCTCCACGAGGAAAAGTGGGAAGTTGCCACTCGGTCCTAAGCTGTCGTATCGTACATTTGCTTGCGGTTTTGGCAGTGAAGGTATTGGGATGTAGTGTTCTTTGATGGTGGTGGAGAGCTGAATGATGTTCTATCAACTCTGGATGTAGGCTTGTAGATCTGGTTCAAAGTATGGGCAACTGCCAAACAAAACCATTTGAGAGGCATTGGTTTCTTACTCGCCAGAGTCCGTCCTGTAGACCAGCCAAAAGCTTGCAATGGACAGATCAAGGATATACCCATAGAGGGGAATGTGTCATGATTTAGCTGAGGACTTCTGTCAGAAAGAGCATTCATTCATTTTCTTTTCGGCTCATTCCCTTTATTAATCTGAGATCGCCACAGTGGAATGAACCGCCAACTTATCCAGCATATGTTTTACGCAGGAGATGCCCTTCCAGCTGCCACCCAACTTTGGGAAACATCCATACACACTGATTCACACTCATACACTACATATAATTTAGCCTACCAAATTCATGTCTTTGGAATGTGGGGGGAAACCGGAGCACCCGGAGGAAACCCACGCGAATGCAGGAGAACATGCAAACTCCACACAGAAAAGGCAACTGACCCAGCTGAAGCTTGAACCAGCAACCTTCTTGCTGTGAGGCGACAGCACTACCTACTGCGCCACCGTGTCACCCTATCAAAAAGATCAATCCCACTCATGTGCTCAATTTAAGCTGGCAAGAGTGATGGACAAGGAACAGTTTTTTCCTTGGACACTTTGCTCCACTGTTTGACTGTTGGAAAAGGCACGGTCCAACTGGAATTGCTCAAAAGATTTACATTTGTTGTCATACCATTTTACAACAATCACCCTTTAAGTATTATCAGAGCCATGCCCTCTCTTTATCTGTTCTTTATCGGTCTACAAGTGAGCTCCATCAGTCGAAACCAAACCTTCCACATACTGTGGCCAGCTTGTTAAAGAAGGTCTTCGCATTATGTGCATTGAAACTGGTTGATCTGGCTAAACGTGTAGCTTGAGGCCTCCCAATAGAGAGATTTATTTACATGGACATAGTAATCAAATTATTTGCCTTAATCTGTATGAGACAATAATACGTTTGCAGTGTTTGCTGAGTTGCTTTATGAATGTTTTAGAGCAGGGGTCACCAAACTTGTTCCTGGAGGGCCGGTGTCCTCCATATTTTAGCTCCAACCCTAATCAAACACACCTGAACAAGCTAATCAAGGTCTGAAGCTGCGGTCACACTGGGCTTTTCCTCCCATCAACTTCCATTCATACTAATTCATACCATTCATATTGTGTGAACACACTACTTACACTATTTATACTACAAAATGGCGTAGAATAGTGCATAAGTATGCAATTCGGGACGCAGCTTAAGGGTTTACTCAAACAACTTCCTGGTCCAATTGAATTAAAACGAAGTTTTGTAGATGTTAGTATCAGTATTGTTAGTTTTAAGATATCTATTACTTAGTGCACACCAAAACAGTGACAAAATTTGCGTGACATAAAAAAACAAACAAAAAAAATCATGTAAATTTTGTAGTTTGTCACTTTCACCAAAATGGATCAATGATTTTATTCAGGTCACCTCATACTTCCATTTCTCTTCAAATCATAACCTATCAAACTCTCTCTTGTATCTGACATGCCCCGCCTCCTTCAACATGCATCTCATTTGTTTTTCATTTGATGCACTTCAGCTAAACCTCTCTCACAGGCAGAGCAGTGATAATACCAAACACTATTGTATTGACCTTATTCTAAAATGCGGAAGTGCGCCTGTTTTCGCGATTGTCTTAGAACTTCCGATTCAGTCGCCTATGGGAGAAATGACTAGGAATAATAAACGGCAGAAAATGGCCAAACTACTTGCTCAACAAACAAATGTTTGCATGACTATACAGACCAAGTAGCATAATATAATAAGAAAATATTAAATTGCAACATCAAGCAGCGTAACGAGCAGTTGTTAACGTCAAAAAAATGAATGGAAGTGAATGTGACCGGAAATCGCGAGACAAAAAGATTCAAATGGCAGCGCCCACTCGACAGCTGAGAATAAGGTGAATAAATAGAACACAGCCAGAAACTGTTTCTAACTACAGCTCTAGATGTGGTTGCAAGCATAGAAGTTTGCGACGCAGTTTGCAAATGTTCGTTGGAACGATGGATTTGGAAAAAGCCAAATCAACGAACTATGATTGTAACAACACAACTTGTGACCTTAATTGGCTAAGAATGGTTTTAGGAAACGCACCCCTGCTAGTCTATTTACAATGGGAAGACTGGAGGGTTTCCAGCTATTGATGACAGATTTCTCAATTGTTTTTATTTACAGTTAAAATGATTGCTATTAGTAATATAGTTTGTTTTGTAGCCACTTCCAGAAATGTATGGAAAACACCATGAATAAAGGCGTTATATTGAAATGTAAATACAACAGTGCTTTAATGAAAATCAATGTTGGCCCTGACAAACACCTACATAAAGATAGAAAACAAGACCAGAGAGAAATTATTTAATAACTAGATGAAGTACATACACCATGCCTCCCTCTTTTTTCCCCCACACACAGTCAATATAAAGTCAAGTTGCCATTAATTAAGGCACATAACACAGCAGACAGTTCTTTAAATGTTCTTGCACAATGTAGGTGCAAAATGGAAGATGGAAGTTACCCTTTATATATTCATAATCCTACCATAACTAAGGATAGAAAAAAGGAATCCAAAGTGTCATGATCCCAAATAAAACCCCCCTGAAATTTTTAAACATACAAATGTACATGAGCCTGAATAGATACAGCATTTTTGCATCTTCAAAATATGAGGAAAATATGCAGTTGAGGCCAAAAATCATGTCAGTTATTCCAATCTGATTTGTTTTCATTACCAAACTATAATAATTACCAAACTGTCAACAATCTACAAAAACCTGTTCATGTTGTTAGAAGTGCTGACTAAAATGGATTTAGCAGAGCACATCAGGTTTAAAAGATTGAAGCAAATAACAGTACCAAGTATATTAAACAGCGAGTTGACCATGTAACTTGTGTACTGACAAACACAATGTTTACAACAAGCCAAAACAACACATTTCTGACGAGTAGAGAAGCCCAATTAACCATACTTTTCATAAGAGTGAAAATCAGAAGCACAATGTGATGCATACACACAAAGTAAAAATCGCTGACAAACGTTTAAAGGTCACTTCACATGTTTTGTCAGATTTTATTGTCTTAATAACTTGCTTCGGATCCGCTCTTTTTTTTTTGAACTCTTGCTTTAGACATATTGAAAGAGACATGGAAACTCAGAAAATGTGTTTTGTAGTGTTAACCCACTGAAGTTGATCGGGAATGCCTAGACAAGCTAACCTGGTCAGGAAATGATAGTCTATTAGATTAAATAATTCACATGGCCCATGCTTTGAGTTCCTCCATGTCATCCTCGTCCTCTTCTTGTCTCTTTTTCTGAGCTGGAAAGACAAAGAGACATGGTAATTAAAAGATTCCATGAGGAAACATCTCAGAATGTCTTCCTAGGTATTTTCAAAAATTTTAAATTATAAAAACAATTGTAATTTGTGAAACTTATATATTTAATATATATTTTTTTCTTTATAACAGCCAATCACCAGATTTTTTGATATACTTAACAGAGGACCTATCAGGCAAAACAGTTTAATCACAGCAACAGTGTGTGAATATAAACAGCTTCTAACGGTAAAAATTTGTACATGTCATTAAGGCTGATTTATACTTCTGCGTCAATATGCTACGGTGCAGCCTACGCATCGACGCATAGCCCTACGTCATAGCCATCACTGACGTGCACCTCACAAAAAAATGTAACTATACATCACAATGACATGTAGCGCAAGCTCTGTGATTGGTCGGCTTGGAAGTGCTAACGAGTCTGGGCTGGACCGAATGCCGCGCAAGCCCAATGGAGCAATTGTTTACAAGTGTTGAGTCCTGTGAAGGAGCTCCAGATGGAAAGTTTTGTTTTGCGTTTACCTCATGGTTTAAGTTGTTGCACGTCCACCGGTCCTGTCTCAAAATGAGCGAGTTTGAACCACTTGTACATTAAGAAAGCGTTCAGAAAAAAAAAAAACACCAGCAAAGATACTCGACACAGAGGAACAATAACACCTCCATGCCAACTAGCATTTCGGAAGTGTTATTGCAGAACAATCGAAACAGTATAAATACATAGTTGAAAAGTATAAATACACAGCTACGCGTGTTGCATGAGCCACTGGTGACGCCGATCACTTGATGCAGAAGTAAAAACCAGGCTTTAGAGGGGGAAAAAGACCCGTCCATTAGTGAAAATCTATGCCATATGACGTTAGGGCTCCATTTTAATGATCTAGGCGCAAAATCTAAAGCACATGGCGCAAAAGCATTAAGCATGCTTCCGAATCCACTTTGGCTATTTTAAAAACAGAAAAATAAAGTTTGCGCCCCAGTGCATGGTCTAACAGTGCTGTGCTTATTCTCCTAATGAGTTACGGTTGTGTTTTGAGCATAACGCGCAATAAACCAATCAGAGGCTCATCTCCTATTCCCTTTAAAGCCACCTTTTCCCAGTATACGACAAGCGACAGACTGGAAGTCATTAATTTCCAATGGAAAGTAGTCCAGGAGCAATCTGATCATCTCTGCGTGTGAAAAATTCGTATCCGATTTGAGCTGCGGATATGTTAAAATATTTTAGCTCCTGCAACTAGGCTATATGGAACCAGCCGACTGGATATGATGTATTCCAGTGTTATCTAAGGGGGTCCGTGCACGCGAGATGAGAAATAGAAGTTTATTTTTCATTATTTTTTGCACCAGGAAAGTTTTTTAATGTTGTCTCCATATTCCCTTCAAAATTTTTAGCGGTCTATGCGTTTCTAATATTCATTCATTAAACCATGGTGAACGCACAGAGAATGAAGGCTTGCTTTTGCTTTTGCACTCCTTTATTTTCTCTTATCATGCACAACAAAACTGAAAATTCTGTGCAATTCCCACAAAAGGGCGTATTCTGACAGTTGTGTCCGAATGTCATATGCAGTGGAAAGGCAGCTTAAGAGTTGCATTTGCTATTTACATGTCAGACTTTGTAAGTGGAAAAATGGAATGCTTCACTTGCGAGAAATCAGTTAAACAGAACATCTGCGCGAGGATAAAGAATGAGCCTCCTCCATTCGGCCTCTATACTTTTTATTTTATTTTTACTCTTTACTTTACTCCTTTACTTTTGTGGAGTAAGGAAACAGTGTTGCATGCACTCCAATGAAGACATCCACTAGCCTATACATTTAATTTCGTAATTTTGTTTAAGCACAAAGTTGTTTCAAAACTATTTCCAAATTCAGTTCTAATTTCCAGCAACCGAATGAATAAACAATAATAATGAAGTGTGGTAAAAAAAAAGTTATATCCAAACACACATCCTAGTCCTAGTCCCATATGTTAATGCATACATCTCCAAAACCTGACAGGTGGACAAATCTAAACTTGTTTTTATTAAAACAAATATAAATATGCATATAATAAATCATACTACGGCTAATAATAATAATAATAATAATAATAATATTATACTTATACAAATTGTCATGAATAAACTGAAAAAAGCTCCCAGACATAAAGAAGTCATGGAGGTAGTGGTTGTTATATTTATATAGAAAATAAAAATTTTTGTAACATTAATCCTTTAATTTATTTTTTTTGTAAAGATATTTGTGTATTGCTGTACATTCGGTGTGTATTAAGCAACGTGTGCGCAATTGGACCACCATAGGCACATAACTAACGCGCTCTTTTAGACTTTTAGACTTTTTTTAACCATCTTTTAGTTAGTCAGTGGCCCAATAATGCGCCTTTACACACCTCCTTTTTAAGGCCCGTGCACACAGAGATGTTTTTTGTTCATGTTTTCTGTCAACATTTAATGTCTTTTGGCTAAATAAAGGGCGCTAATGTAAACGTGCACACCAACGCACAAAACGCCAGGCGTAAAATCGTCATTTTGTTCACGTGCACAGGGATGCTGAAGTTACAGTAAAGAGCACTTAAAGCCGCTCAAGCGCAAAACTGTCAAAGAGAGCGCTCATTGAAGAAGATGCCCAGAGGCGATATGAATGTGGAGCTGCTTATTGCTCTGGTGAACAATAATCATTTCTTCATCGCTAGAGCTGCCACTTGAACCATCCATAACAACAAGCGTGTCAACTTTGTCGTCTTCTTCTGTGTTACAAGCGGGTGTCAGAAGCTTAAAGTTGTGTAGTGCCATCTAATGTCAAGTGATTTTGCATACTCTTCTGCTCGACGCCAGTGAAAATCGCTTCGGTTTGAATCTGGAACGTCTTGAAAAACCATGACGATAAACACCGGCAGACCGCAACACCCACGAGTTCACAAAGTGGCACAAATGGATTTACCATTTAAACAACGTGGCGCAAAACATGAAAATTAGAGTTGAGCTGGTCTGAAAATAGCAACAAATCGCGCCATACATGCTTTGCACCTTTTTATGCCGGGTGTATGATAGGGCCCTTAGTTAAATCTGCCACTATGCTGCATTTGTAGCTCCGCCAATTTTTGAAAAGAGGGCTGGGAGCACAATCTCATTTGAATTTAATGCAACAGTCACCAAATTGGCACAATTAAGATCGAGGAGTAAAAGGGTCAGTTTTAAAGAGATATACAACATTATTTGTGTGGTATTTTACGCTGAAACTTTATATACAAACTCTAGGTACATCAGAGACTAATTTTAAATCTTGGCATAAAAAAGTCCCCTTTAAATCTTTTATACATGAATGTTATGCCTAGTCGACACTACATGTGCCGACTCATTATGTGTAAACTATTGAATGACGCATCAAAAAGGCTAGCTTATGAATCACCAAAACCTTCCAGACTAAAATCCAATATCTAAAATGTTGAATATTCTGGATCAGTCAGCTGACTAGTGACATGCTGCAGCCAATGAGAGAGCAAGTCATTGGTTGACTGGCCATTGTGTTCACATGCTTAACAGAAATGCCTGTGATTAGGCCGAATGGTTTCGATGCTCTTTCTTCACCCAGCGTTCAAAGAGACACGATAGCATGTGAAAGCTGATTGACAATGCTTTCGAACGCTCCCTTGAACATCATTCAGAGAGATTTCAAACTCTGTATCAGTGATGTCATCATCACACAAGCAGCCAATAGTGTTCAACACTTTCTGACATTTCATTCGCTGTGGTTTGGTGGATTATGGACAGAGTTGCTGTCATGTAGCGTGACCTTCTTGAGGATCATTTACATAGTGGGACATAATGCGATATACCACAGTGATACGAAGACGCAAATTAATGAAGTCTAAACGACAGCGATCTGCACATGTCTCAAGTCATGTAGCGTGAATAGGCTTTAGAGGGTGTAACGATATATTGCAACATCGAGAATCACAAAATAAAAATGTGCTACTGATGTAAACGATAAGATTCGCAGTACTGAGCTTCATTTAAACAGCTTCCTGTATTCATTAGGTATATTTCACCCAAAAATATCAATTCCGTCTTCATGTACCTCCTTGCATAATGATGTTTGTAGCTGCAAACATAAATGTGAGCCGACGCAAGTTAGGTTGCTTTGGTTTGCTCAGCACACACGGAGAAAGAGAACGCACAGCATCCTACGTCAGTGTGCATTCTCAGAACCATTTGCCTATGCTGCGAATAACAGGTAATGCTGTTGTAAATAATGTTTAGTTGTTGTACAGAGCCACAAGGTGGTAATTATAATTTGCATGCATAAATACATTTTTAATCTGACAGTGATGGCACACACTGACTTGAGCAGAAGTTAAATGAAAGGGTTTTAACCACCATAAATGCATTTCAGGGGTATTTTATATTGTTTATTCTTTAATAGCAAACTGAAGAACTATTCTGCAGATTCAATGAATGTCTGTATTCAGATTGTGAGTGTTCTATTTGTGAGAATAACCGTATGCAGAGTATCAGAGGCACCATAAGTACTAAATAACATCAGATATAATCCAAGAGGGATTTTGAGAATGATGAATGTCTGATTTTACCAGAAGTCTATTTATATGTTGTCCATGGCAGAGTGCAAGGATAGGCATCTAGCATAATTAATAATTCATTATCAGAATTACGCCCCATTCACACGGGGCTTCAGCGTCAACACTTGACTTAAGGCGTGTCTGAAGTTGGGGCTAACGCGATCGTGATAGCTGCGTCAGCCAATGAAATTCAGTCAGCAATAGGCCACTTTTTAGCTGGTGTTTTTGCATACAGCGATCTGATTGGCTGACGCTTCCTTCGGATCCACAATGCAGTTCTGCAACGCCTGACGTCACCCTTTCAAAGTGAATGGGAAGCGTTGACGATGACGCCCCGTGTGAATGGGGCGTTATGAACAGTTGTATTCTGATGTCATCACTGTCCTCTGCAATAAGGACTAGGACCAATTTATAATAATTTTTTTGGGGGGTTTTCACCCCTATCCCTGACAGGACAGCAGAGAGAACCGACAGGAAAGCATGAGGAGCAGAGAGAGGGGAAGGACCAGCACAGGACCACGAGGCGGAATCAAACAGTAGGCCCACATATTATAATATTATTATTGTTTTTTTTACCGTATGTTTAAGGAATTACAGCAATAATTCTAATATTAAACTTGTTTATAGCATACGATATTGAGATAGAGAGAGAATTTTGAGTTTATTGCCTTTAAGCTAGGATATTGAGATAATATTATATTGAGAGTTCAGTATCGAGATATGTATCGAATCGTGACTTGAGTGCATCTTTACACTGCTAATGAATGCTGTATACAATGATATGTATTCAACAGCCTGTAACATACCGACAGCTGTCTTTTTGGGTAATGGGTTTGAAGGCACGTTGGGCAGAGGCACATCCTCTGGGCCACTGATTTGCAGCAAGTCCTTGTCCAGCTCCTCCTGTTCTAGTTCCTCCAACTCAGCCATAAGCTCATCCTAAAGAAGACCAAGAATCACATTGTTCAGTCAACATCTAAATATAACTGTAGAGAATGTTGAAGCAAAAAGCACTGTGGGATACATTTTAATCAGTGGTTAGGGCTGCACAATATATTGTTTAAGCATTGATATCGGAATGTGTCACAATCATCAATGTTGTAATGTTGAGTCTGGATTATAATTGATCAGAAACCACAATGGAGTCACATGTGTTTTAAGACCTGTCTGTTTAAGCCTTTTCAAATGAGCTTAAAGCATTCATGGGGTGTGCATAAATGGTGTCCAAGTGGGAATAAAAGTGGGATTCAAATAAAAAATGCAGACTAGATATGGTGCTAGAAAAGAACTTTTGAATACCAGTGCATTTCAGAACCTTCACTTGTTACCCAAGTTACAAAATAATCCCCATGCAACATAGGCAAGATAATAATTACAACCGTGTGTTGTTAGCTGTGTAAAATAATGTACTTGTTTTCATAATATACGGACTTGGTTTTGTAAGTAGCAGTGCCAGTAGGCTTTAAATTTATCTTGTTACCCAAGACTTAACTCATTTAGATGTGAATCAAATCAAGTAAATGGGCTCATTCAACTTCACCATGCTTGTAGACACAGCCGGCCCTATAAGTTAACTAAGCGGCTGCTTAGGCCCCCACAACCCGCTAGTGGTCAGAGCCGTTTCCTTGCTGAAACCGTTTTTATTTGCATTTTACAAATTATTTTAATTGACAGTGCTTTAGTACTCTTTTAGTACTTTTACTGGAAAGAAAATATATATAAAACAGGGAAAAAAATAACGACGACAAGAGGCAAGTACAAAATTATTTTTAGCATCACTCTTAAGTGCTAATAATGATATTATAGACATAGGCCTTATCTAGTTGCACATTTACTGAAAATAGGCAATTACAGATGAATAAACGTCATACTTGTATGACATATTTAATTTTTTCACGGTTGTACATACCTGTTTTTTTGTCTAAAACATTTTACTAAAAAGCAATTATGTCTTTCACTGACATACTTTGCACACTTATAATATTTTTCGTAATTTTTTTGTAATATTTTTCTTGACATGTTTATAAAAGTTATTTCCTAACTGAATTAATCTATAAGGTCTGGACCCTGCATCTCAAAAATCTAAATCCATAAGACACTAATTATTTAATTAAAAAAAAAAAAAACTCAATGTAGGAAACAGGGAAGGAGATAGAAGTAAATAATAAAGTTTGTGTTTGGGTATTAACATTAACCCAGTATTTGTTTCTTCCCTTTTTCTTATGTGTTTTTAATATTAATATTTAATATATATTATTTGCTTATTGATTTCATTTATTATGGATTAAACTTGTTTTGTTGTTATTTGGAGTTTTTAATGAGTTCAGAATGTATATTTTAATAATTCTATTTTATTTTATTAGTAATGCATTATTACTTTTGGCTAATTATTGATTATTGTTCAATGTTTTTTGCTTTTGGAATTAAAAAAAATCTGTTTGCTAAATTAATAGAATATGTTTTAAACACTTCAGAAGGACGCAAAGTAGGAATCACTGGTCCCTTTATTAAAGATGGTTTAATCCTTTATTTTTGAAGCTGCTAGTTGACAAAAACAGTGCTGTTTTAAAATGTCCAAACCATTTAGACAGCTATTAAGTAAAAGAAACCAGGCTTTATTTTTCTATTTCAATGAGTGTATTTAATAAGCAATAAAATAATTGTGGGCTGGTTTGCAATGGTAATACTTCACTATTTAAAGCAAGGTAGGGCCCTGATATGTACAGGGCCGACCCTGTTGTGGACCAGAGAAAGAAGGTCCCACAAATAGAAATGTTTAAAATTGAAAGATATAAAAAATATATGTAATATATGTACATACACTCATATGCCACACATTTTTCAAAATACTGCAAAAAAAAAAAAAAAAAATTATATATGAATATGACAGCATGTAGGATGGCTGTGCCCTGAAAAGATTAAGGACCTACAACTTCTGGACCAACAGGACAACTAATTTTGCCTATCCCTAATTATAATAAAGCTTTTTATTTTACTTTGTTCAGAGAGTAGGTAGATGTCTATGACTACATTTCAAAACATCTAGCGGTGAAAAGAATTATAAAGATCATATTTTAAAACCACAATAAATAACAATATCAGAAAAGAATGTTTTAAGTATTTAGTTATTTATTCCAAGAAATTAGATCTATGAACTTAATAAGGTTGTGCAAAATCTGATGACCTTATGTTTTAATAAGAGCAAAATGATTTATGAGTGACGTGATATTTTAAGTTTTAAAAAAAATGTAGGAAAAAATTATCTCAGAATCCAAAATAGTTTTTAATTTAAGTGTTTTTTTTTTTCTTTTTTTGAGGAACAATGGAGATTCTGCATAAAACATACCTCATCAAACTCTTCTCCAAAACCTACAGGCCTTGAAATGGCATCAGAAATCTCTTGTGCCAACTCCTGTTGTTCTGTGATGTCTTGCATGAGGTCATCCACTTTGTCTATATCCCTGAAAACATTCAAACACATTTAAACATCTATATATTTATGCACATTACTAACCATATGTTTGTGATTAAAAATGAATTAGACATTCTAATCAGGTCTCTTACATATTTTCATGGGCTGTCTTCATGGCCTTGGCCGCAAAGCCCATGTTTTTAAGCACTTCTGTGTTTGTATTGGCATTTTCTAATGCTTCTCTCTGGAACTCAATAGTGGAAAGAGTGCCATCTATCTGAGCGAGTTGCTTCTCATATCGCTTCTTTCGTTTCAGGGCTTGTAAAGCAGCTTGAAAAAAGAAGAGACAGACATGCACACCATCACTTTATGGTAACATTTAATACAATAAATTAGTTTTATTTATGCACGTGCACGTACACACGCACAAATAAAAAGAAGTCTGGAATACATTATGATTTTTCCGGGGACATTATTTCTAAAGGAGCTGTTGACATGAAACTGGCCCAGATTTTGGTAAAAACCCAAAGAAACAAGTAAACACAATCAAATAAGTGTGTATGTGTAATGATGGAACATCAAAAGTAGAAAGTTCTGAACTACTGAAATGTATTTAATACTTCTAAAAGGCTTGGAGTCACATGCCTTGATCAGTTATTATTTATTTTTCCCAGACTGAAGCCCCAGTCACATTACACTTTCGCCCAATAGACTTCAATTCATACGCATGCGACAGACCAGAAACACAAGCTCGTGTGACAAGTTTCGCAGTCTGCTGTCTTGGGTTGTTCAAGCTTTGTGAACTTTGACCTGTGAAATTAAATCATGTGATTGTGTAAGACCAATTCGAAAGACAATACATGACGTCTATGAACAGAAATGTAAAAT